ATATTTCTTGCATTTGTAAGCTGGTGGCAGAACCTGTATTTTCAGCATTACCTTCATTGTTGCATAATACCCACATTTCTTAAAGGACATGCATTTTTAATTCCCTATACTGGCTGCTCCAGATAGAAGTAATATGGAGGGTTCCCTCTTTTTCATACAGCCACGGTGTCTTGTGAGCCGCAGTTCCAGATTCTGAAGTGCCATCTGCTGTGGAATCTGGAAATGACTTACTCCAGACCCTGTTCTTATTGAAAGAGTGAAATTATAAAATTGTTTTACTGTTGCCTGTGAGGAAGGATATCCCTTGTATGAAAAACAAATCTTCCTTTTAAAGTAAACCAGGCTACAATCTAACGCTAATGCTGATGTGCAGGTTCTTGTTTTAGCCTACAGTCTCTTTTCACCTGTGAAGCCCTCTTAGAACCTATAGCTAGGCTCTACATAGAGCCTTGATTTCCCCCCCTGACCAAGTTGAAAGGAAGCCACCCTCATCTGCCACTCAGCCCCACCTCTGTTATTCAGTTCTCACATGCCAGATCCTATGTTACTCTTTGACATTCTGCCATTTAACCCTTCGTTGGTCATAGAACAGGGTGGACAAATAAATCTGGAATTCAAAAGCAAGTTTGTCCAGTTTTGGAGCCAGCAGAATTTTTTATGGAGCCAGTTCTGTTGACGACAACTAGAGAAAAATCTCAAAAGTGATACCAGCTGTAATTTTTAAGGAGCATTAGCAAACTGGCTCTCTGGATTTGCCCTGCCCTAGAAACATTTTAAGGCAGTCAGGTTTGCTTGCACATAAAGGGAGTATCTAGAGAAACCAGTTTGTTTTCAGTTTTCTTCTAGGCTGTAGGTTAAATAGTAAATATCAATATTTGATGAAGCTCAGTGATCCCATGGACTCTTGGAGAGATGCTACCTCTGCAGTTATGGCTTAGTCTTGACCATTGGCTTGAGGAACATAAGTACAATGGACTGCACATTGAAACATACCTCTAAACTTATCCATTTGATTAAAACTTTTGGCCTTATAAACACAGCGGCCAAAATGGGCTAGCGGCAAGCCCTTTTTTGGCATATTGTTGACATGTGTTCCTTCCCTTAAAGCACAAGCATCCAATTTTCCCACTGCGGGGCTGTTCACTTTTTAGTGTTCCCTGTGTATTACTGCCATCCACTATCTCTATCACCTCTGTATATTTAGCTAAAAACTGCCCCCCCCCCCCCCCCCCACCCTATAAA